TACACAATAAAAACCTTAAATTAAAAAAAAAAAAAAGGTGCAAATGAAGAGTGTGAGCCACCTAGACCCTGCGTCCAGTCAGAATTATACTGGAGGGAGACAAGCCAAAAGCCCTATAGAGCAGGAGGAAGAAGAAAGCCGGGGCTCACTCCTCTGAGCAATGTCCTACTATTCATGGCCTAGTAAACTTGACTTGCTACTTGCTACTTTTTGTCTGTGTGTGCTGTTTGCACCAACCACAAGTGGGTCTTGCTAGATGTGTAGAAGTCAAGTTATCGGACCCTAACGCTGTTGTCTTATACCCTGGCAGATAATCATTCTCAGAGTGTCTCCATTTCTGGTTCCAGTGAAGGCGTTGGCATTCCACTCAGTGGTTTGTAGACGTTTACCTCAAACATCTACATTTGCGGAGAGACCCGGTGTCAGTTTCACAGACGAGGCCTACTGTGAGTAGATGGACTAGAATCCAACAGCTTCACTGGACTAGTAATGGGAAGGTGCTCTGCCGAGCGGGCAGTTAAAGCTCGTGGTCCAGGTGGGTCCAACAGGGTAGTGTCCTGGGAATCATTTTCCTTCTCCTGAAGAGCTCAGTGTCTAAGGCAAAGGTAGACCATCGTTGGACCTGCCAGTGGTCCCAGGATAGCCAGTTCCTTAAAGACTCAAGGTGCCAAAGGACAGGCCTGAGTGGGTCACCCTGTCCCCATGGACCCAGAAATCTGGATTCCAGAAGAATGAAACACTTCCTTTATAGCATTGCATCACTGTTACATTCTCTGTTCTTAAGTAATCGGCAACTTGTAGTTCTAATTTAAAGGCGATATCAAGAAACAATAGGTTCATATTTTGGTATTTTTGTTTAATAAAGATTTCTACTATTTTGTAGCAATAAGTTTTTACTTAGCTATGCTTGATGGTTGGATAAATCAAAATGTTGCAGGGATGCCAACCATCTCCCCATTGTACAAGAGTGGGGTCTTGCCTTCTACTGTGAAGAATAATCAGGTGAGGCTGGGTCTAGGTATGAATAAAGGTTTATTATAGGAAAGAGGTGATAGTGCCTAACCCCTATCTCCTGAACCAAGGCTTTGCTGGGGTTTAAAAGGTTTAGGGTAGGGAAAAGACATCATGTTTATTCACAGGATAGATGGGGATTTCTAAGAGGCAACCCGTTTAGGAGGGGTTGTGCT